TAGTCTTGGATTATGTAAAATACATCGATATGCTTTCAAATGAGATTCGAGGGCTTTTTCGTATTCTTTTTTCCAAAACCAAAATTGTGCGCAAAGTCGCCATATTTGCGGGTGTGACGTCATTCGCGAAGTAATAGTTACTGTCAATAAATGTTCGAGTCGTGGCGCTAATTTAGACGCGCTGTTTTTATTAGCATCTTGAATTCCTTGAGTAACAGAATTTACAAGAATCTCGAGAACATCAAAGTCAATACATGATTCTTTTTCCTTTTCCCATCTCAAATCCACTACGCGTTGCATGGCGCGAATTGTTTCGGCAAATTCTCCTATATCAACGGCTGTATACATATAATTTGTCCAAATTCTCCAGCTATCATATTTTTGTTTTAAGCCTTGTTGAAAAGCGTTAAACGCATCTGGCTTGCGGCCTTGTTTAAGGAAAACTGATGCAAGATTGTTCCATGCTTCAGAGTTTTCAGGATCAAGAGAAATCGCTCTAGAAAAAGCTTGCTGTGCAACATCCCACTCTTCCACATGCATTGCTGCACAACCTTTAACAAACCAAGCTTTTTCAAAGATTGGATTTACATTGAGAGCTTTTGCATAACATTCAATTGATTTCCGATATTCCTTTTGTTTAAACCAGTATGCACCGAGAGATCTCATAGCACGTCCATAACGATTACCTGATATGTTCCATGCATGCTCCCAGCGTTCTGGATTCTTTTCAACATCACCTAAAAGGCAATAAAATTTTGGAGAATTTGGCGTAATATTCAGGCGCTCAAGAATAATCTCTTTAGCTTTAAACTCTTTTTCAAGCATTATATAACAGTTTATAATGTCTTCCCACATTTCAAGGCGTTCAAATATCTGTAAGGCAGATCGAACTACCCCCAAAGATAAGTATTGCAAGGCAAGTTCTTTTTCCATTTCCCATTTCGATGGTAAAAGAATCTGATAAAAGTAATCCAAACGTTCTTTTGCGCTAGATAATTCTAAGGGAAATTGATCAACGAGCGCTTGAAGTTGAAGAACTGATCGTTCTACAGTCCGCGACTTTTCTTTTTCAAGGCGTGATCTGAGCAGAAGTGCCATTGTATAGACCATCCAGTTATTTGGATTTTCAAGTACTCTTGATACAAAAGGTACCATTTGTTCGGTGGTTATGCCATGCAATGGGTTCGTATTTTTTACATTCAAACAAAAAGCGAGCAGCAAACATTGATCAATTATTTTGAGATTGCTTTTTGGATTTAATTCACTGCTATAATCTGTTGTTTCTGAAATTTCAATTTTCTCTAAAAGTGTGTCATCGTTAAGTGATACAGCGTTTGGAACACTTTTTATTACTGAATCTTCTGAATCATTCTCTTTTTTAAATTTTACATCATTTTGACTGTTTGCAATAATTAATAATTGAGATACGTCAAAAGTTTGAAATTTTGTCCGTTTTCCTAACATTCCTGTAAGTGTCCATTTAAAACCACTTAATTCTTGAGCCTTTACAAAATGTTCTTTGGCTAAGGAATCATGCCCATAGTAATGATTTATAATACCGTATTCTAAATGAAACCGAGCGTATATTTCGGTTGTCTTTTCTTCTGGAATTAAACTCGGAAGTGCATCGTTTAAAGATTGCAAATACTGGAATATCGTGTCATGCAATGATCCACTAACATTATCAAGAATACGCTGTTGTATGAACAAAACTCTCTGACCCCACCAACTGGTGCTCTTTAGATGAGTAAATAAAAATGCATTTTCAACCAATATAATTCTCGGGATCAACAAATATAAAGCGCGAGGCGTCAGATGATAAACGTCTTCTCCATCAACTGATAAAATTTCATGAATTTTCTTATTCAATTCGGTGACATTGAACTGTTCTTTTATAACTGCAGGAAGGATATCTTGAGGTTCTAGATCAAAAACTGGACCAGTCCAACAAGTTTGTACAAAAGCATTTAAGGAAGCCACCGCAACACACAGTAAATGTAGCTGCTTGATGATTTGTTGTTTCTTAATTAGTTCTTGAGAAGAATTGGGAACAAATGAAAGATACCTTTTTATTCTAGTAGAAATATACGAACTAATATGTAATGTTTCCACAAAGGCTTTTATATCTTGATCGTCGTTAGGCAATTCTATTCCAAGAATTTCTCGCGCAATCTTGCAAGTTAAGCTTTGTTTGTACTGACTGTTAATAACTGTTGAAGCCAAATCAGTATCAAGCGCGTCTTGTTCAAGCTTTACGGAAACATCCTGTACAGGAATATTCAATATCAGGGCCCATTCGAATTTGTCAACAGCTTCTATGAAATTTTCCATTAATAATTGCTGCGACAGGAACAAAAAAGAATAAATTTGGTACGTGTATAGGGAGTTCATCATGTGAGCGCCGATTTTAGATATATCGATAATACTCATGCAATAAAATCATAATACCTGTCATGCTTTGCCACCTAAGTTATTTGACAGACTGCTTTTCTTTCCCTCCTTATATTTCGAACACTTGATAACCTCTTGCTTAAACATCGAAGACATGACCACAGGTAGTCTTTCTTTACTTATCACAAGGTTATAGATTTTGTGATGAAGATCGTTCTGTTAAATAATAGTATGATTATTCTACAAAAAAAGAAACAAATCAGGACTATTAAATTTGTTCATTCCTGATTGTGGATTTTTTAAGCTTCAGCATTATAAACTTGCTTTTTAATACTTTTGATTGAATTTTCTTTTGCATTGCATAGTTCCACGCAACTTCAGGTTACTTGAAGAATTGGAAAAGGGTGAAAAAGGTATTGGTGATGGTACATGCAGCTATGGCCTTTCAAACAGCGATGATATATATATGAGTGATTGGAATGGCACTATTATAGGGCCTGGCCACGTAAGCTATCAGAAAACAGTATTTAATCATAACATTTTAATCACTATAAGTAGTGACACCATACTTTGATTTCCTTCATATAGACCATTCATGAAAATCGCATTTATAGCTTGAAACTTCATTGTGATGAGAATTACCCCGATTCTCCACCTACAGTGCATTTCATTTCTCGAATCAATTTACCTTGTGTTAATCAACAAACGGGCAAGGTAATTTGTTTGGAGAACGCTTTTTATCTAATTTTTTATTTATCTATTTTTTTTACTCATATTAAATTTTTGTTTAGGTTGAAGCCGCTAAACTGAGCTGCCTGGCTAATTGGAAAAGAAGTTATACACTTGAAACCGTATTAACAGAATTACGTCGGTAGGTATTCAAGCTTAAATTTTGATATTATTCGCACTTGTTCTTATAGAAACTACAATTTGAAATAGCGAGATGTCAAACCCACATAATAAGAAATTACATCAACCTCCGGAAGGTTCTTTCTTCTGATTTAGAGTTTAGAACCGGGTTATAGTAAACTGGGTCACCCGTGTCAAAACGATTCAACCGGGTCAAAAATTTACAACTCGGGTCAAAACGGTTGAATATGTAATCACTAAAAATCTGTTACTTTTACACAGAAAACGTCACAAAATTTAGCACATTATTATTGTATTGTGAATAAACACACTTTTTCTCTTACTAATGTTCAATCCCGTTAATCTGGGTTAAAAAAAAGTTACAAACTTTTGGAGGCTACTGCTATAAAGAAATTTAACCAACTCTTGATTACAAGCTAATAAATCTTAAAATCTAACCATTGTTCAAAATTACTACTTCAAACACTAACAAACTCCTAATATTATACTATTAAACAACAAAAGTTATGTATATACCTTCTGCAACAACAAAAATATAACTAATGAATCAGTATTAATTTTTTTGTAGTATTGATATTAGAGCTATTAACATATTCTAGTATTTAATAATAAAAAAAAGTTAGTTATAACAAAAATATAATTTGACTTTGCTTGTGAATTCAGGAATTCAAAATGGTTTAACTAAATATTTTTTATCTAATAAACCTTCAGAAAAACTATCTGAATAATTTATAAAATAGTTTAGTTAACAGAAGCTTAATATAAAATAATCATTGTCACATATATATACATGACCAATTAGATCATTTAATAGGCAAATCGCGAGTTACCTAAACAAATATTTTTTTTTTTATATATAAATTTTACTATAAGCCTGAATATGCAGCACTTTTATCTAAAACTTTTTTTTACTAAGTAAATCTCTCTTGGGCTTGTAACAAAAGTTGTAAAGCTTATCAAGATGCATCTAATGGTAGTAAGAACGTTAAAATTAGCCTGGTGGTTCTTGAGAAATCTTTAAAAAACTTCTTTCTCACATATAAAATTTTTTTAAAAAAAATC